TCACTTAAAACTCTATAGTGCCTTCTTGTTCTCACAGAAAATAGACAAACACAAACTACCAGTAAAGACCTCTGAGGTCTGTTCTGGCTTCCTTCTCTAGACTCTTCTCTATCTCATTCTGATCCCTCTTTAATGTTTACAGTTCTGTGATGTTTTGTGCTACTCTGGTCTTCCATGTCTTCGTACATCTGGTTTTCTGTGGAAGGCCTCCTACCTCATATTTCTTCTCAGATATTGTTTCTTGCAGCTCCTCCAAGCAGGGTAGATATTCTTTGCTGTGTGTTGATACGGTATCTTGTGTGGAACTTAAGCATAGTACCTGTTATGCTTATTATAGTTATTTTTTATTTGCATATTGTCTTCCTCCAAGGCTGAGCTTCTTTATTTTTGAATACATTGGCTCCATGAATCAACTTCTAGGAAACTATGAGTTATGCCCCCATCTTCAGTTAAGGGCAGATGTTACACATTTATTTACTGTACAGATTATCTGGTTAACAATCATTTACATCTATATTGAAGAGACCATCTCCGTAGTTACTTTATTTGCTGCCAGGGGGGAATTTTTTGGAGTTTTGTTGATACAGCTAGTGTGCTGTCCTTTTTCAGGCTTCCAAAGGTCATTCTTTTCCTAGTGGAACAATAACTATATTTCCTGGTAACTCAGTTACTGGAAGAGCCAATAAGAAATGTCATCAAGGTGGTTCTTAAACCATAGTGTGGGAATTGTACTCTATTTTTTGTCTAGGAGTCAGGAAGCTGTGAAAGAGCATTGACTTATTGCCTGAAGACCAGCTGTTAACACTGAAGATTAATGCTTTATTGAGATGGGTTGAGAGAAAAGAAAGGCATTTGATTTGTAGCTGGCATATGGCATCCAGAGGGAAGCACTTTCTCTGACTAAAAATCTGTACAGTTCAACCACAAATAAGGCATTTGGGCAATATAACAGAATCAATTTAATAACACTGAGTTTTCAGGTTACTCTTTGAAGGTACATTTTGCAGGAAAAATGGCATACATATTTTATTTTTATATAGATTTATTAGAAAATAAATTAAAAATATGTAGTCTAAATCCAAGGTAATACTAAAGGAATAGTCATTATTTTTCCAGCATTAATTTAAAAAATGTTTTCCCATAAAACATGCTTACAGGTTTTCCCATAAAATATGCTTATGGGAGAAAAATCTATTGCACAGAAAATGATACAATTCAGTTGGATGGTGGTGCTCAGTGGCTAATGAATTATTCAATATTGTTCATGTCAGTGCTTTGGCTCCCTGTTGCTGAAGGCAGGCATGAGGGCTTTCCCAACCCTTGTAGGTCATCAACACTAAGAGGATAGTTCAAGTGGGGTCTGTGGCTCCTATCTTCAAATTCCAGTAGCAAAATGTTAAAATATTGTATGTAGGTGCTTAGTTTTTCAAGGCAAATGAATACTACAGTATCAAGGAAAACACACTGTGGCTGTGTTATATCAAAAATAATAGTAACATTTTCCCGTGGTGCTTGGGTTTTAAAATTTTAAAATTGTTGGCGTATGTTGCAATTCATTTGATCCATACAACTTGGACCATAGTTAGCATTATCTCAGTTTAGTAGTAAAAGAAATGGGTTCTGAGAGAATTTTGCCCATTCAGTGGCAGAGCTAATATTCAAAGCAAGGTTCTGTGTTTCTCATTTGAGGACTCATCTCCTTAGTTCACACAGCAAGAGTGTGCTGGGCCATCAGAAGGAGATGTATCTTTAGGATGGCCAGATTAGCTGCTCACTCTTCAGAAGAGAGAAGTTTTTCTTTAGCACTTTGTTGTACTTCAGAGATGCCTGTGAAGCGGGAGAGACTTCCAAATAGTAAAATTTGATTATCAAAATTTTTGGCTTTTTGTGAGAATGTATCTGTCAGAGGTAGGACTGGTGAGAGCCATGAAGGGAACTAGTAACTGTGAGTTAATAAGAAGGGGGTTGGATACCGGAATCTATTTATTACTCTTAATGAAAAGGTCTGTTTGCTTAATAAAAAAATGTAGAGAAAAATGTTAGATGTATCTGTGGATTTTTAGTCAACACACAATTATTTGCTATTTATAATGTTTGATATGTTCTATTTTGCTTTACCAGTGTTCACAGGGATTGTTACTAAATCTGCATATAAATATATGGTCACAAGCATGAATTGAAACAGGTCTCAGCATGAAGGTATAGAGTGACTAAACCTTTTTTTGTTCTTTCTTCTCTCTGTCCTTTCGTCTCTGCCTTTTTTTCTTGAAGAAAATATTTTATTGACTTGTTAAATGGCGTTATTCAGGCCATTCATCATTTTTCCTTGGCATTTTATACATCCTGAAATTTCACTCATGGTCCTCATGGCTCAAACAGATGCCCTCCAGCTCCTTTTCTTTTTATATCCCGACTTAAATTTTTTTTTATTATTATTGTACTTTAAAGTTCTGGGATACATATGCAGAACGTGCAGGTTTGTTACATAGGTATACGTGTGCCATGGTGGTTTGCTGCACCCATCAACCTGTCATCTACTTTAGGTATTTCTCCTAATGCTGTCCCTCCCTTGACCCTCCACTGCCTGACAGGCCCTGGTATGTGATATTCCCCTCCCTGTGTCCATGTGTTCTCACTGTTCAGCTCCCCCTCATGAGTGAGAACATGCGGTGTTTGGTTTTCTGTTCTTGTGTTGGTTTGCTGAGAATGATGGTTTCCAGCTTTATTCATGTCCCTGCAAAGGACATAAACTCATCCTTCTTTATGGCTGGGTAGTATTCCATGGTGCCATCTAGCTCTTTACTCTGGAGTTTTGCTTTTTTCCCTCCCTCAATTCATTTTGATTCTCAAATTAGCCTCTTCCTTTTTGGTTTAAAATAAAACAAACAAAACAAAGTAGATGCTTTGTTTATTTTGATTAAATTTTAAATGATTGTTGAAGCTATCTAAACTACCAGTTATTCTAATATAGCACATGAAGAATATTAAAAGTTATTTAGTTATATGTATTTAAATATATTCAAATCATCATTATAAGGAGACTATTGTTCTTTCTCTTTTCTGAACTCCAATGTAGTTTGTCTTCCCTTCTTTAATGGTTTTCATGAATATGTTTTGTTCCCATTAGGTTCCAAATTCCTGGTGTCTACCCAGCATAAGTCCATGCCCACAGCATCTCCCTAGCACTTCTTAATTTCTCAGTGAATTTTTTTCATTGAATAAATAATGCTATTTCAGTGGCATTTTCAAAAGCACGTGCAAATCTGTAATTTCACTATTTTCTATTGTAGTCATATACACTGACATTCTAAATGAACTTTGGTCCTTGAAGTCAATGAGAAAAGTCATTAACTCAAGGTTGTTCAGTACTATTTCCTCTGTCAGAACATACAGTAGCACTTGCCAAATAAATTAGTTGTAGTGGGAGAAATTTGGCTTGATTCTATCTTTTTGACTCTCCATTCCAAACTATCAGTGCAGCTAAACGCTTGGGTTTTGGAGCATTCTCACTGTCCTTTGCCTATTTTATAAGCTGCTGTTCATTGAAATCCCATCTGTGTTGAAGCTCTGTTCTGCCAAATTTCCTACAAAACTCATAGTATGCCACGTGCCATTATTGCCCACTGAATTGTTGAGTAACATATCCTGACTTGAGGCCAGTGGTTTTCAAACCTTGGTGAGCATCAGAAACATCTGAGAGCTTGTTAAGAGTACAAATGCTGCATGCCTTCCCCTGAATATAATGAATCTGTAGCTTCAGGAGTAGTCCTGGGTGTCTGTGGTTATAACACTTTCTGGTGGGCCTGGGACCACATTTTGAGAAACACTGCCATTGAGTGAAAAGTTTATTTTGAGTGGAATTCTGTGATGATTCCTCTAAAAGTTGTGAGACATTCTAAATGTGTTTATGAACTGTGCTATAGATATGTTTATGAATTCTTTGACATTGCAGAATCAGCAATAATTTATGTGGCATTGCAGATGTAATGTTATGTAGTACTCTCTTTGCTGCAGTTTTATTGGCTTAGTGTTTAGTAATATGCCATTTGAAATATGAACTTGATCAAAACCTCCATTTATCAGGAATAAGAACAAATGGAATGAGAACAAACAAAACTCAAGTTGCAATGTTTGTTTTCTGCTGTTAATTTCTACAGATGAAATATCTGTTTCTGCTTGATCTCACGTTTTATGTGTCCTTTTTTTTAGACAAGAGTCTCACTCTGTTGCACAGGCTGGAGTGCAGTGGTGTGACCTTGGCTCACTGCAACTCCGCCTCCTAGGCTCAAGCGAGCCTCCCACCTCAGCCTGTCAAGTAGCTGGGATGACAGGCATGTGCCACCATGCACAGCTAATTTTTGTAGGTTTTTTTTAGTAGAGACGGGTTTTTGCTACATTGTCCAGGCTGGTCTTGAACTCCTGGGCTCAAGCGATTCAACAGCCTCGGCCTCCCACAGCGCTGGAATTACAGGTGTAGACCACTGTGCCTGGCCTTGTTTCCTTTTATTGGAGAAAAATGTCAGTATATTTAGAGGATACAATCTAATGTGCCTTTAGTAATGGTCAGTATTTGACGGTGCTAATGTTGATCTTGAGGCCAAAGAGTGTACTGGGTTTTTTAATTATCGAAAAGAGTTTAAGAATTAATTTCAGTATCAAATATTTTCTTTAATGCTGATTCTCTGAAAATCAAAATTAATTGATAATACACAGGAACTAAGTGGAAACTTTTATAAATTTCAGCTAGATGAATGAATGGCATATTCCAATGAGGTCATTATGATAATATACATGGATTTCTATGCAATCAATATAAGGACCTCCTTCTTTTTTTTTAATTTTGAAAATGCTTCTTTTATTAAGATGGGCCTATCATTTTTTTGGATAAGTGATACATTGAAAGGTTGGGAATTAGGAGAATTGCTGTGGAACTTGGTTTATGAATGTATAGGTGATCGGAATTCCTTCATGACTTAATCTATATTTCTTACTTTTTTTAGGGACTTTCTTCCTCGAGGGTCGGGCATTGTAACAAGACGACCTCTTGTGCTACAGCTTGTTACTTCTAAAGCAGGTAATGAATGAAGATGTCTACCACATGGATGGGCATATCCTGTGGCACCTTTTGCCTTCATAGGTGTGGGGTTGTACCAATAGAAACGTGTTTGTGGTCACCCCACTGTGAGCAGCTGCCCACATTTCTCTCCAGAATGCTGCCTTCTTCATTGATCTTTTCATTCCTTTGATTACATTAAAGGGGATAGTTTCATGGATTTTTAAAAATACCTACTTAAAAAATTTTTTATTGCTCATTGTAATCCATCTATATAATTTTACAGTACAGCACAACCACTAATACTCTTTTGGTATGCTTTCTGTGTGTGTGTGTGTGTGTGTGCACGTGCACTTGGGGATTAACTTATAAAATTCAACAACCATATAATATCTGTATGGATGTGTATGTGCGTATCTATATTTACACTGTGCTATGCTTGCTCCTCTCTCTTACACCATGATAATTTGATAGGTAAATGATGCTTGTTTTTATTTTCATTTTATTTTAGCAACTGGTGATGTTGAATTTTTTTTTTCAGGTTTCCTTGCCATTTGTATTTCTTCTCTTGTGAACTGGCCATTTTTTTTTTCCCCATTTCTTTTTGGGGATTTTACTACTTTTCCTATCAATTTCTTTGAATGCTTAAGACTGAAGCACCTCATAAAAATCATCTATCATAAATTGTAAATATTTTTAATAGCTTGTTAAAGATACCGTTTACATACCATATAACTTGACCAAATAGAAGTTAACAGTTCAATAGGTTTTAGTCTTTTCACAGGTATATGCAACCATCTCCACAATCAGCTTTAGGACTGTTTGATCACTCCCAAAAGAAAGCCTACATGCTTCTGCTGTCACCCCTTTTCATAACACATTTCCCCACCACTCCAGCGTAGGCACTACTAACCTATGTTCTGTCTCTATGGATTTCCCTATTCTGGACATGTCATATGAATGGAATCATTTAATATGTGGTCTTTTTTAATAGGCTTTTCTTGCTTGGAATAATCTTCAAGGTTCATCCATGTTGTAGCATGTATTGGAACTTCATTTCTTTTTATGGCCTAACATATTCCATTGTCTGGATAGACCACATTTTGTTTGTCCATTTATTAACTGAGGAGCATTTGAGTTGTTTCCACCCTTTGGTTCTTATGAATAATGTTGTTATAAACATTCATGTACATGTTTCTGCGTGGACATGTGTTTTCATTTCTCTTAGAAATATACCTGAATATAATTACTGGGCCGTGTAGTAACTCTATGTTTAATTGTTTAAGGAACTGACAGACTGTTTTCAAAGCAGCTGCCCCATTTTACATTCCTACCAGCAGTGTATGAGGGTTACAGTTTTTCTATATCCTTGCTAACCCTTGTGGGTAAGAAGTGATATCTCATTGTGGTTTTGACTTGCATTTTCCTAGTGACTAAGGATACTGAGCATCTTTTCATGTGCTTAATGATCATTTGTATATCTTATTTAGATAAATGTGTATTCATTTCCTTTGCCTAGTTTTAAATTTGGTTATTTGCCTTTGTATTACTGAATTGTAACAGATATATATTAGATACAAGTCCAATATCAGATATTTGATTTGCATTTTTTTTCTATTTTATAGGCCCTTTTCATTTTCTTGACAGTGTCCTTTGAAGCACAAGATTTTTTTATTTTGGTGAAGTCCAGTTTATCTACTCATTCTTTCATTTCTCATTATTTTTGTATATATCTAAGAATCCTTTGCCAAAACCAAAGTTATAAAAGTTTATTCTATGTTTTCTTCTAGGAGGTTTATAGTTTTGATCTTACACTTAAGTCTTTGATCTATTTTTTAAAATTACTAATTTTTAAATTTGAAATTTCATTTTACATTTGGGGATAGGTGGAAGTTTGTTGTATTGCATAATGTGTAATGCTGAGGTTTGGGTTTCTAGTGAAACTATCAACCAAATAGTAAACATAGTCCCCAATAGGTAGTATTTGAGCCTTCACCCCTCTTCCACTTTTCCCCTTTTTGGAGTTCTTTGCGTCTGTTTTTCCCATCTTTATTTCCATGTTTACCCACTGTTTAGTTCACACTTATAAGTGTGAATGTGTGGTATTTTATTTCCTATTTCTGTTATTTCTCTTAGAATAATGACCTCCAGCTCAGTCCATGTTGCTGTGAAGGACATGATTTCTTTTTTTTTTTTCACTGTACCCTAATGATACTGTTATTTTGGTTTAGGGAATGCAATTTTTTTTTTTTTATTATACTTTAAGTTCTAGGGTACATGTGCATAACGTGCAGGTTTGTTACATATGTATACTTGTGCCATGTTGGTGTGCTGCACCCATCAACTCGTCATTTACATCAGGTATAACTCCCAACGCAATCCCTCCCCCCTCCCCCCTCCCCATGATAGCCCCGGTGTGTGATGTTCCCCTTCCCGAGTTCAAGTGATCTCATTGTTCAGTTCCCACCTATGAGTGAGAACATGCGGTGTTTGGTTTTCTGTTCTTGTGATAGTTTGCTGAGAATGATGGTTTCCAGCTGCATCCATGTCCCTACAAAGGACACAAACTCATCCTTTTTTATGGCTGCATAGTATTCCATGGTGTATATGTGCCACATTTTCTTAATCCAGTCTGTCATTGATGGACATTTGGGTTGATTCCAAGTCTTTGCTATCGTGAATAGTGCCGCAATAAACATACGTGTGCATGTGTCTTTATAGCAGCATGATTTATAATCCTTTGTGTATATACCCAGTAATGGGATGGCTGGATCATATGGTACTTCTAGTTCTAGATCCTTGAGGAATCGCCATACTGTTTTCCATAATGGTTGAACTAGTTTACAATCCCACCAACAGTGTAAAAGTGTTCCTATTTCTCCACATCCGCTCCAGCACCTGTTGTTTCCTGACTTTTTAATGATCGCCATTCTAACTGGTGTGAGATGGTATCTCATTGTGGTTTTGATTTGCATTTCTCTGATGGCCAGTGATGATGAGCATTTTTTCATGTGTCTGTTGGCTGTATGAATGTGAAGGACATGATTTCATTCTTTTTTATGGCTGCATAGTATTCCACGATGTATGTGTCCCCTATTTTCTTTATCCAGTTAAGTGTTGGTGGACTTAGGTTGATTCCACGATTTTGATATTGTGAATAGTGCTGCAGTAAACATACAAGTATAGGCATCTTTTTGAAATAATAATTTCTTTTCCTTTGGGTAGCTACCCAGTAGTGGGATTGCTGGGTCAAATGGTAGTTCTATTTTTAGTTCTTTGAGATCTCTCTATACTGTTTTCCATAGGGGTTGAACTGATTTACATTCCCACCAATAGGTTATAAGTGTTCCCTTTCCTCTGCAGCCCTGCCATCATGTGTTATTTTTGACTTTTTAATAATAGCTGTATTAGTCTATTTTCACACTGCTGTAAAGAACTGCCCAAGACTGGGTATTTTATAAAAGAAAGAGGTTTAATTAACTCACAGTTCAGCATTGCTGGGGAGGTCTCAGAAAACTTACAATCATGGTGGAAGGCAAAGGGGAAGCATGGCACCTTCTTCACAAGGTGGCAGGAAGGAGAAGAGCCCAGCAAAGGGGGAGGAACCCCTTAAAACTATCAGATTTCATGAGAACTCTCTTACTATCTTGAGAACAGCATGGGGGAAACTATCCCCCATTAATTACCTCCACCTGGTCTCTCCTTTGACATGTGGGGATTGTGAAGATTATGGGGATTACAATTCAAGATGAGATTTGGCTGGGGACACAAAGCCTAACCATATCAATAGCCATTCTGACTGGTATGAGATGATATCTTATTGTAGTTTTGATCTGTATTTCTTTGATGATTAATTTTGTTGAGCATTTTTTTCTTATGTTTGTTGACTGCTTTTTTTTTTTCTTTTGAGAACTGTCTGTTCCCATCCTTTGCCCACTTTTTTTTTTTTTTTTTCCTTTTTGAGACAGAGTCTCACTCTTGTTGCCCAGGCTGGAGTGCAGTGGCGGGATCTTGGCTCACTGTAACCTCTGCCTCCTGGGTTCAAGTGATTCTCTTGCCTCAGCCTCCCAAGTAGCTGGGATTACAGGTGCCCACCACCCTGCCCAGCTAATTTTTTGTATTTTTAGTAGAGACGGGGTTTCACCATGTTGGCCAGGCTGGTCTTGAACTCCTGACCTCAGGTGATCCACCCACCTCGGCCTCCCAAAGTGCTGGGATTACAGGCATGAGCCACCACACCCAACCCTTTGCCCACTTTTTAATGGTATTATTTGTTTTTTTCTTGTCGATTTGTTTAAAGTCCTTATAGATTCTGGATATTAGTCCTTTATTGGATGCATAGGTTGCAAAAATTTTCTCTCATCCTGTAGATTGTCTGTTTACTCTGTTGATAGTTTATTTTGCAGTGCATAATGTCTTTAGTTTATTTAAGTCCCATTTATCTATTTCTGTTTTTGTTGCATTGCTTTTGGGGTCTTAGTGAGAAGTTCTTTTCCTGGGCTGATGTCCGGAGAAGTTTTTCCTAGGTTTTCTTCTAGAATTTTTATAGTTTGAGGACTTACATTTAAGTCTTTAATCCATCATGAGTTAAGTTTTGTATGTAGTGAGAGATAGAGGTCCAGTTATTTTCTTCTGCATATGGTTAGGCGGTTTTCCCAGCACCATTTATTGAATAGGATTTTCTTTCCTCATTGTTTTTTGTTGACTTTGTCGAAGACGTGTTGGTTGAAGATATGTGGCTTTACTTCTGAGTTCTCTGTTCTTTTACACTGATCTATGTGTCTATTTTCATACAAGTACCATAATGTTTTGGTTACTATAGCCTTGTATAGTTTAGTATAGAGTAGTTTGAAGTTGGGTAATGTGATGTCTCTGGCTTTGTTCTTTTTGCTTAGGATTGCTTTGGCTATTTGGGCTCTCTTTTTGTTCCCTGTGAGTTTTAGTATTATTTTTTCTAATTCTGTGAAAGATGATGTTGTTAATTTGATAGGAATGGCATAGAATCTGTAGATTGCTTTGGG